TCTATTGATAGCAACCTATTGTTTAAAATTCGTACTGAACATACATGTAATTCCTAAATATTGTGCCATATGTTTTATGTTTAAGAYCCCTTTTTATAATTATGTCACCCAGACAACTAGCTCTATTTCTGGACGATGAACCAAATAAAGAAAAATATCTCGACCTATACTATAACCACCTTTTTGCTAGGTTCATGATTCGCTAAGTTTATGATTCGATAGAATATGTGAACTAGATGTGAAATGTTAGTGAAAAAAATTTTGGAATCAATTTTGGAAACAAAATTCCATATGTGGTTATCTTGGGTCTTTTTTAGTTCAATTTTTCAAGTTCATCAACATCATCAGCTTTGAGTTGAATGATTTGCCTACCAAAATGCTCTTCAATCTTCTTCATACAATTCAATGATCTTTGACCATCGATAAAATTAACGGCWATTCCTGATTTCCCGAACCGTCCTGTACGACCAATCCTGTGTAAGTAAGTCTCAAAGTCTGGTCTTCCTTGTAAGTCCAAAGGCATGTCGTAGTTAACAACAAGAGTGACTTGTTCAATGTCTATTCCACGTGCTGATACATTAGTAGTAATGAGAAGCTTTTCTTTTCCCTCTCTAAATCGGTTAATGACTGCAAGTCTCTGTTCTATCGTTATTTCTCCACTTAGCAGTGCTGTTGCATGTCCCTCTTTGACCATTTTGGCCGCTAGCCATGCTGCACTCTTGCGAGTCTGTAAATGARAAAGTTTACTTGTTTGAAATAAATACTTTGGCTTGCATAAAGCAATATTCTGGCTCTTCCTTGGTGTCACAAGGCACCTGAAGCATGGAGACAATAGCTAAGGCAATACCCTGCAAAGCAAAAACCCTAACCCAGAATACAATAAAGCTTGCTATGTCAAGAAACCCAATATTTTTCTCCAACATTGCAATCCAATTGATTCATCCATGGGTCACATTTCTGGTTTTCATGTTGAAGAAGTTTTTTGTCTAATWCTTTTGTTATGCCAACCAACACTGCAGTAGTGGATTACGCGTACCATCGGGGTCAAATTACCATTCTTATGCAGTCTAGGTTTCTGATTGGCTTAAATAACCAAAGTTTGAATGCATTGTTTTCATCCTAGATTTTAATTGGTTCTCTTTTAATACACCTAATTGAAAAAACGTAGTCGGGTTCAAGAAGGTCATATCATCGAAGCTAAGACAGAAAAGGATTTTGGGTATTTGCATTATTATTTACATATAGACATGTAAAAGATGCACAATAGAGCAAAGTTAGGAAACCTAGATTAACGACATGCCAAAGCCATGATGCATAAAATGTGCACAGGAAGAGAAAACTGCAATATGCATGAAATTAGCATAATAATAATTGTTTGTCTTCCCTTGCTCCCCTTCGGTCTTAGCTTTGATGATATAGCCTTTTTTGAACCCAACAATGTTTTTTCAATTAGGTGTAAGTGGTTACAGTAATTGCTGCACTATAATAACATAAGTAAATAAGAAGGAAACTTGAACACCRTGTGACTAAAGTTTGTAACTTTTGTACAGTTGTTTTGGATGTTAATTCTTTCATCAGAGTAAAATATTAATATTGATTAAGATCATTAATAATGTATGAGAGGCACGGGGCTGTAGTCTTCCATKACGATGAGAAGCACAGCACGAAAACCTCTCACTTGCTTTACCTGTAGTTTTCAACAGAGAAGCCACAAATACWAGACAACTCTGCCAAATTTTACAGGACAATTTTGAAACACCTGGCTGGACAAGTGTTAAAAGACATCATTACCTTGGG